CATGCGAGTGACATGTCCAGTTTGGAGGAAGAGGCGGTGGTCGCACAGAGGCACCAGCACAGCATAAGAGGGAGCAGGGTGCAAAAGCGGAGTGGCCGTCCCCTAGATGGTACGCCTGCTTCTGCCCACCGCACCCACGACCGAGCACACCAAAGCCAGCTCCAAGGAGTTCCCTGGCGTGGCAGTTCTTCAGACAATGTGCTGACAACAAGACACGAGTTGTTTGCACGCTGTGCAATTAGAGCCTGAAGCGAGGCATAAACGTGCTAAACCTGAGCACAACCTGCATGACCAGGCATCTACATGCATAGCACGAGCTGCAGTGGAGTAAGCACCTCAAAAACCATGAAAGGTCTCAGGCTCCACCTGCTTCCTCTTCTGCTGTTGTCTCTGCCTCTTCCTCCACCTCTGGAGTCACAGTGGCACCTGCCACCACGTAAACAGAGGATGTGACAGCAACGCCACCATGTCTGCCACCGTTCCCAACCATCTCCACAATGTCTCATAGAAGCATTCAGCTGTCCATCTCCCAAACACTGGAGAGAAAGAGGAAGTTCCCCCCTAGCCACCCCCGATCCCTGGCCCTGAATGCCAGCATTTCAAAATTCATGGCCTTTGAAATGCTGTCATTCCGTCTAGTGGAGATGGACAGTTTTAAAAACCTGATGGCGGTGGCTGTCCCACAGTATGTGGTTCCCAGCCGCCACTACTCTTCCAGGCGAGCCATCCCTTCCATGAAAAACTAATTGGCGGACAAAATCAGATGTGCACTACGCAACTCCATCTGTGGCAAGGTCCTCATAACCACAGATACGTGGACCAGTAAGCACGGGCAGGGACGCTATATCTCCCTAACTTCACACTGGGCAAATGTAGTGGCGACTGGGCCTGAGGCGGATAGCAGTTTGGAGCATGTCTTTCCGCCGAGGATTGCAGGGCATTTCTCTTTACCTACTGTTGCCTCCTCCTCCTACTCTGCTTCCTCCTCCTCTACCACCACCTCATCCAGGCAGCATAACACCTTCACCACCAACTTCAGCACAGCCAGGAGGAAATGACAGCAGGCTGTTTTAAAACTTATAGATTTGGGGGAAAAACCCCACACCACGCATGAGCTGTGGATGGGCATGGAACAACAGACTGATGAGTGGTTGTTGCCACTGAGTCTCAAGCCCGGCCTGGTGGTGTGCGATAATGGGCGAAATCTCGTAGCAGCTCTGAGCCTAGCCGGTTTGCCGTACATCCCTTGCCTGGTGCATGTGCTGAATTTGGTGGTGCAGAAATTCATGAAAAACTACCCAGATGTATCAGAGCTGCTGCAGAAAGTGCAGGCCGTCTGTGCGCGCTTTCGGAGTTCTCACCCTGCTGCTGCTCGCCTGTCTGCGCTGCAGCGTAACTTCGGCCTTCCCACTCACCGCCTCATGAGACTGTGCCAGCAGCAGCAGGCGATAGTGTTGTTTCCACTGCAGCACTCACGGGTCAGTTGCTCTGCGGAACAGAGTTTTCTTTTTTTATATGTCCCAATATTTTGGGGGCTACCCCAATTAAAATAAAAACATATATATATAAAAAACAGTGTTGGCTACCTCCTCCTCCTCCACCCCTGCTTCCACCTACACCACCACGGACACTGCCTCCTCAACCTATGGGTGACTTAGTATGTACTATTTACACAATAGCAGAGGCTTGTGAAGGCCTTTTTTCCATGCATCAGGAGTTGAGCATTTCTCCATGCATCAGGACTGCAAGAAATGCACCGCAGGCAGCAAATGTTTCTTTTTATATGTCCCAATATTTTGGGGGCTACCCCAATTAAAATTATATATATATAAAAACAGTGTTGGCTACCTCCTCCATCGCTTTCACCTACACTGCTACGGTCACCGCCTCCTCAACCTATGGGTCAC